TGGCTACATTTTTTAAAAAATAAATGCATCATGAGGGTTCTAATGTAAAATGACAAAGAAAGGGCTATAACATCACTGATGGTTGATCAATGACAACTAAAAGTTGTCTTTCAAGACATTCTTTGGAAGAAAAATCAAGCCAGTGGTCTTATTGAGGGGAAGTGACTCATAACACTAAAAAGAGTTCTGTTTGATCACATTATAAAGAATTTAGTAAAATGCATTCATATTCCTTAAAGTCGGCCATGAAGAAAAGACATATGTGTGTGGGCACACGCATGTGTATGCATTTTAAAATATATAGAAAAGAGAACTATGCTGAATTGGTAGATTGGTAGTAGTAAAAAAAGAAACCCTTTTATATTACCAAAAAAAAAAAAAAACCACCAACAAACTATAGGTTAAAAGTTCTTACTAAAACATATTCTTTTTTGTTTGTTTGTTTGTTTTTTTTGAGAAGTTTTCATAATAGGGTGCATGCGCTCGCCAGACAGACAGAGAGAGACATAGAGACAGAAAGCGAGAAATCACCCCCCAGGGGGGATGGTCACACCGCAATCCCTTCTCCTCCATTCTCCTCTCGGGATCTTGGGCACGCACGCACACGCGCCCGGCGTGAGTTTTAAGCCACTGGGTCTGGAACATGAACTGCGGTCGACTACGTGGGAGTCCAGTGACATAGCCATTATGCTAACTGCTGGTTCCCCTAAAACATATTCTTGAAGAATAAAATCAGATTAAAATGATTTGTATTAGAATTTTCTTTCTTTTTTTTTTGAGAGATTTTTGCTATAGGGTGTGTGTGCGCGCGCCAGAAAGACAGAGGAGACTGAAAGCAAGAAATCATCCCCCAGGGGGATGGCCATGCTACAATCCCTTCTCCTCTTGGGATCTCAGGCAGGCATGCAAACACGCCCGGCCTGAGTTTAAGCCACCGAGTCCAGGACTCAAAACCGCGGTTGATTACATGGGAGTCCAGCGACATAGCCATTATGCCAACTGCTGGTTCCCTATATTTGTATTAGAATTTTCAAAGACTTGAACTTAACTATACAACTTAACACTGTTATGTTTTACTCTTATAATTCATGAACTATTTAATAAAATGGTTATTGAAAATATAGCAATGTAACTACTTTTTTTTTTTTGGAGAGGTTTTTGCTATAGGGCATATGCGCTCGCCTGAAAGACAGAGAGATAGAAAGCTAGAAATCACCCCCCAGGGGGGATGGCCACACCGCAATCCCTTCTCCATTCTTCTCTTGGGATCTTGGGCATGCCCGCACACGCACCTGGCATGAGTTTAGGCTACTGAGTCTGGGACTCAAACCGTGGTTGGCTACATGGGAGTTCATCGATAAAGCCATTATGCTAACTGCTGGTCCCCAGAAATGTAACTATTTCTAAGGCACGTTTTTCTTACTATTTTATGTTAGAACTTACATCCAAGGACGTCAGCTTTTGAACTTGGTCTACTATTAATGATCTCAAGGGAGAAATGACAACGGTGACGCCAGGAGAAACACAAGCAGGTAGTTGGTAACATAAACTTTTCCCACCTCCTGAAAGAGAAATGACCAAAAAAAGAAAAAAAAAAATCGTCAGGTTCTATTCTGAGAGAACAAAGATGAAGGGTACAAAGAGAATCATAAATCACCTCCAAGGTAATTACTTAATAGGACACCAAGCAATACTGTCCACAGTGCCCAACAACTTCCCATACTCAAATAAACCAAACTATTTAGGTAATTTAAACAATGTATAAAAATAATCTTTCATGATATTTCACATAGGCATATACAATAGTGAAGGAACAAAAAAGGTAAGAAACTTAAGTGTAATGAAATTACTTAAAAAGTCTACTCGGGGGACCAGCAGATGATATAATGATTATGTCGCTGGACTCCTATGTACTCAACCACAGTTCAAGTCCCAGATCTGGAAGTTTAAAACTCATGCCAGGTTGGGACCAGCAGGTGACGTGGTGATTATGGCGCTGGACACTCCCACATGGCTGACCATGGTTTGAGTCCTGGACATGGCGGCTTGCTTTCTCACTTTCTCCCTCTCTCTCTGTGTGTCTCTCTCTGGTCAAAATAAATGAATGAATAAATAAAAAATAATTATTATTTTAAAAATAATAATAAAATAAAACTCATGCCAGGCGTGTGTGTGTGCATGCCCAAAATCCCAAGAGAATGGAGGAGAAGGGATTGCGGTGTGCCATCCCCCTGGGGGTTATTTCTCAGTCTCTCTGTGTCTCTCTGGTGAATACATGAACCCTGTAGCAAAAATCTCTCTTTAAAATAAAAAAGTATACTTGGGAATCCAAATATTATAAACTTGGATCTGTAAAAATTCATGATACTAGAATAAAAATAATAGTTTTCTATATATTATTGGGTCATCGAGAAAGTCATAATGCAGTTTTGCACAGAAAAACAGAAAAATAAATCATGACTTTCCTGACGACCTACCTAGTATTTATATTTTAAGGAGTCAGCATGTAATAAAATAGTCAACTCTGAAAACCAAGAGCCCAGCCACATGAAACAAGTGGTAGCAAACTACCTATAGTATTTTATTCAAGATAGAGAGCATGCGTATGAGACAGTGGGGGCAGAATGAGGGGTGTCAGAAAGGAAAACACCCTTGATAGGGTCTCATCACACCACAATCCCTTTTCTCTGGCTTTCCAGTTTTTAAAGATCTTGGATACCCTGTATATGCATCCAGTGTGTTTTCAAACCAAATATGGGGATCCAAACTCATTTTTTTTTTTAAGAGAGAGATTTTTTGCTACAGGGTGTGTACACTCACCAGAGTGATGGAGACAGAGGGACAGATAGTGAGAAATCACTGCCCAAGGGGACTGGCTACGCCACAATCATTCTCCTCTCAGGATTTTGGATATGCATGCACATGGCCTGGCGCTAATTTTTTAGTTTTCTTTTGTCTTGCTTTTTAGAGAGATTTTTGCTATAGAACACCTGTGCTGGCTAGAGAGACAGAAAACAAGAAATCACCCCCACTGGAGGACAGCCATGCCACAATCCCTTCTCCTCCATTCTCTTCCTGGGATTTTGGGCACACTTGTCCTGTGTGAGTTGGGTCCAGGACTGGAACAGCAGTCAACTACAGGGGAGTCCAATGACATAACCATTATACTACTCATCTGCTAGTCCTACGATCAAAATTCTTAATCAACTATGTGGCTTTTAGCACTGCTTTTCAGTTTGCTACCAATTTTGCCACCAGGCTAGGTCTTTAAAATAAAAATTTGTCTTAAAAATTTTTTTTTTGTCTAATAGATACCTTTTTTGAATCTTTACATATGTACTTATGTGCTGGATGACAACATTTTGTTTCATGATGGCCAACGCCCCTTTCAAGCATGAAACAGTCACAGAAGACAGCTGTAACTGTCAGCTCCCAAAAAAGATTTATGGGGAGCATGCCTTTCAGGGGAAAAATGAGGCAGAAGAAAGCTACCAAATGGAAACAGGTAAAGGGGCTGGAGTATCTGCTCATGTGGCTTGACAGAAACACCCAATCAGGACAGAAAATTCACTGCCCAAAGAAATGTAAGCAGGAGATTAGTGGGGGATGTCTAGCTGATTAAACAACATTTGATACAGCCAATAAGATAAATAGGTGGGCCCAGCCACATTTGATAGAGCCAGTAAGATGAGAACAATTACTAGGCCCAGCCAATGATAACCCACATGACCTAGGTTAAAAATGATAAATCTGGGGACCAGCAGTTGGTGTAATGGCTATGTCACTGGACTCCCATGTAGTTGATTGTGGTTCGAGTCCTGGACCCGGTGGCTTAAACTCACACCAGGTGACCAAGATCCTAAGAGGAGAATGGAGGAAAAAGGATTGCGGAATGGTGATCCCCCTGGGGGTGATTTCTCCCTTTGTCTCTCTCTTTCTGGTGAATGCAGACGCTCTATAACAAAAACCTCTCCAAAAAAAAAGAAAAAGGAAAAGAAAGAGAGAGATAAATCCAGCAGAATGCAACTGCTAGAGTCTTTTGAGCCCTCTTTCTCTGCCTGCTCAGACCCACTCCTAACCTTTCAGGAGTGTACTTTTACTTAAAAGAAAGGAAAGGAAAGGAAAAGAAAAGGAAAGAAAAATAAAAGAAAATACTGTTTGATCAATTTGATGTTGCCTAAGTGTACCATGTTTATAAAGTCTACCATAGTGGATGGTAGAGTGTCTCGGCACTCCACTTCCTTCACCCCCGAAAAAAATTCACATTCATTCACCACTGACTCACTCACCCAGATAAACGTCCAGTTCTGCAAGCTCCGTTCATGTAAGTATCCTACAGAGCTGTACCAATTTTTATCTTTTAAACTGTATTTTTGCTGTACCTTTTCTTTTCTTATTTGTTTCTATCATGTGAGACAGAGAGAAAGAGAGGGGGAAGAAGGGAGAGACAAGCATCCTCAACAGTTCTCCTACCACAAACCTCCCCACCCTACCTCCTCCAGCCATTCCCAGGTAGCCAGGATCATGAGCATGCCTGCATCTGGTATTTACAAGTTGAACTGGGAACTGACCCCAATTCTTCCATATGACTTCCAGCATTGCAGGGCATTCTACTACTGGGCCTTTTCTACATTTAGATATACACAAACTTACCATGTATTTCAACCATCTACAGTACGCAGTATAGTAGCATGCTTTACAGGCAGGAAGCCTAGGAACAACAGGCAGTACCACATAGCCTACATGGGTAGCAGGCTATATCATCTAGGTTGTGTAAGTACACTCTATGATATTTGCATGATAAAAATCTAAAAAATTTTTCTAATGACACATTTCCTAAAATATATTTCTGATGTTAAATAACACACGACTGTATATAAATTGAAAGGTTGAAACTGGGGTGGAAAACCTTAAAAACGCCCCCTTGACACCCTAAAGGACCATGAGAAGTCTGAAAAATCACTAACTTAGATCACTGTCAAGATCCTTTCCGGTGTTATGCATGGGTTTGGATTTATGGCAGACTCGTTCCCCTGGGCCTGGGCCTCTCATAGTGTCCCATGCCAGAGCGAACTGGCCCGAACCATTGCCTGGTCTCTGCCTGTGGGCTGCTGGTACTAAAGCGGTTGCACAGAGGGAAAAAAAAAAAAAAAAGATCCTTTCCAGTGTTTTTGGTATCACATTTGAGTCAAGAATGAAGACAGAGTATCGACATGCTAATAATATTTGAAATGTGAATTATTTAGCCAATATTATTGTTAGGGTTTGAATGCCCCCCAAATATTCATGTGCTGAAATGTGGCTGTGATGGATTAAAAGGTTGAAAACTTAATCAGACTATGGTGTTGGGGGACTAGCAGATGAAGTAATGGTTACATTGCTGGACTCCCATGGAGTTGACCACAGTTCAAGTCCCAGACCCACTGGCTTAAACTTACGCTGCATGTACACATGTGCCCAAAATCCCAAGAAGAGAATGAAGGAGTAGGGATTGCGGCATGGCCATCCCCACTTGGGGATGATTTCTTGCTTTCTTTCTCTCCAGCAAGTATATGCATCCTATAGCGAGAAATCTCGCTTTAAAAAAACAAAAACAAAAAAAACCTATAGTGTTGGAGGGTAGGGTCCTTGAGAAAAGATTAAGATTAAAGTCATTAGGGCAGGTCCCCCGTGACTGACTCCTGGTAAGTTTATAAGGAGAGGGAAGGAGACCAGAATAGAGACACACGAAGATGCAATTACCTCATCCTCTGTCATGTTGTGATAAAGCCAGATACTCATAGGATGTGGTCTCTAGACCTTGGACCTCCAAACAATGAGTCAAATAAATTTCTTTCCTGGGACCAGCAGTTAGTGTAATGGCTATGTCGCTGGATTCCCACGTAGTCAACCGTGGTTCATGTCCCAGACATGGTGGCTTAAACTCACGCTGGGCGCATGTGCATGCGTGCCCAAGATCCCGAGAGGAGAATGGATTGCAGCAAGGCCATCCTCCCTGGAGGGTGATTTCTCGCTTTCTATCTCTCTGCCTCTGTCTGACGAGCACATGCGCCCTATAGCAAAAACCTCTCAAAATAAATAAATAAATAAACTTCTTTCCTCTAAAATTATCCAAATTCAGGTATTTTCTGTTATTATTAACAGAATGGACAGCAATCATTTAAATTTAAAAATTCAAATGCCTAGTCAACTTTACTTAATAATGATTATTTTTAAAAAGTACTGATAGCAATAACTAATTTGATAAAGTTTACAAGGATGAAAGGCAGAGGGAGGACTACATGTAGGTGTTAAAACTCCAAATTCTCCAGGCTTCCTAGCCTAAGTGCTTATTTAATATTCTTATATGAATGACTATAAATCACTGAGCAGCTGTTATGAGCTTTAACTGCACCACGAAAAGTCCTGGACTCTTCAAAATCAGGACAAAGAAAAACCTATGCTAAATGCATTTCACTTCCTTTACATGACATTCTGTGAAGCAGGTACTTTGTTATTATCTCCATTGCATGTACAAGGAAACAGGTCCAAGGTGTAACGTGCCCTGCCCATGGTCACAGTGCTTGGAAGTGGCAGAGCTACACTTCAAGCCCAGGCTACCACTCCAGAGCTGATGATTCTAACACTAAACTACATCAAATACACTGGCAAGAATGTTCATGTCTTTGACAGTGGTTTTGTTCACTTTCCAGAGTTATTTAGACTAGAAAAAAAAATTCCCCAAGAAAAATTCCAGATCAATTCAACACACTGAGCTTCGAGTTGGAAATCATAAGGGCTATCAACTTTATCATGTCAACAACTAGAACAGAGGATGTGAGGTCATTTACTCTCTTACTATGGCATGGGAGGTTTAACAGGTCCCTAACTGACAGAAATACTGTGTAGGTGTGCTTTTCATTCCTAGTAAAGGGCTTTCATTTAACATCTGTCAATGGATTTCTGCCAATTCGTATCTAAAAATACATACCAGTGGGCATTAGGATAAAACAGTCTTCACCAAGCAGTGCAGCATTGATCGCCTCTAGCTGATTCGTTCTAAAATTATGCAGGCCAAATTTTTTGTGAAAAATCTTCATCATTTCTTTTGTATGTGGCAAATTAAGGCTTTGGAAACGTTCATGGTTCAGATTTTGGGATGCTAAATTTCGTGTTGATTTGTCTAAGAAAATAATTAACATCAAGAAAAATCAGTGCATTAATATATAAAGTCAATTTTAGCATTTACCCATCTCCATGCTTGCATATGTCTCCCTCCAGATTCCTGCTTTACCCATTCGTGAGCATCTCCTTCCCAACAAGTCTCACAGTTGCCAGACACTTCTTTAGGGCCTAGATCAAATCTTTCCTTGACTTTTCTGCAGCACTTACCATTCCTATTTATTCCCTCCTTTTTCTTCTCTGACCTCCAAAATAATTATGGATTTTCTACTCGCCTTAAATTCCCCTTCTTGGCTCCACTTCCTCCACCTGCTCCTTCAATTTAGAAGTCACAAATACTTGAGACTGGCCTCTTTAAACATTCTTACATTCTTCCCTTCCCCCACATCATGATGTATAATAATATATAAAATTTTCAATATAAAACTTTACATTTTTTTTTGTCTTATGTTTCTTCCCATTACACCTCATGCCCACCTTCTACCATCCATTCTACCATCCACTCCCCTCCCTTGCAGTCTTTTGGTATCTACACTTATCCTTCCTACTATCATATCTTCAGATCTTTGGGGGTTTTTATTTTGAGAGATTTCATACACTCACCGGAGACAGAGAAACAGAAAGCAAAGCAATTACCACCCACCTCCCTCCAGAGGGATAGAGACTCAGCAATCCTTTCTCCTCTACCTTCCTTTCGGGATTTTGGCCACACATGCATGCACTTGCCCTGGTGTGAGTTTCAAGCAGCTGGATTTGGGACTTGAATCGTGGTCAGCCACATGGGAGTCCAGCACCTTAACTACTATGCCACCTGCTGGCCCCAGATCTTTCCATTACTGCCACAGAGTACAGACATTTGGTACATATTAAGCGGGGATATACAGTGTGTACTTTTAAAAGCCTGGCTCACTTTGCTTAACATTAAGTCTTCTATTAGGTTCTGGGGAAAGTCATGATATATTCTTTTCTATGCAAAGATGAGTCATGACTTTTCCAACTAAATATATTCATCCACTTTTTCTTTTTTTGAGAGATTTTTGCTATGGGGTGTGTGCGCTTTTCAGAGAGAGAGAGAGAGACATACAGGCAGAAAGTGAGAAATCATCCCCAGGGAGGATAATCACGCTGCAATCCCTTCTCCTCCATTCTCTTGAGATTTTGGCCATGCATGCACATGTGCCAAGCATGAGTTTTAAGCCAGGACTCGAAACACAGTTGACTACATGGGAGTCCAGCGACATAACCATTGCACTATCTGCTGATCCCAATCCACTTTGAATCAAATAATAGGATCTCATTGTTTCTTATGGCTGAGTAATATTCCATGGTATATTTGTGCCACAGATTTTAAACTCAGTCATCAGTTTTTAGACACTTGGGTTAATTCCATTATTTTTTATTAGTAGTAATTTTTTACTTGTTTATCTAATTCTATTTGTTATTATTCTTTTTTCAATCTCACCAGAGAGAGACAGAGAGAAAGGTAAAGTGAGAAAGCAAGCCGCTAGGTCCAAGACACAAACCAAGTCAGCTATGTGGGAATCCAGTGCCTTAAGCCACCATACCACCTGCCAGGCCCAGGTTGATTCCATTCTTTATGCATTATTTTTTGGAATTTTCCTAGAGCTATGATCTTAAACACAATTTATACGCAGAGAAGGCCTAGGTTTCTCTTAAGACTCTGCTGACACCCTCCTAAATTCCAATCCTGCATGCATCTCTAATAATCTGCAGGATGTTTCTACCCTAATGACTTTCCAACACTTCATGCTCAACAAGTCTTAAAATAGTCCTCCTCAGCTTTTCTCTAAATCTGCCTCCTGATTCCCCTAATTTTATTAATGGTGTCACAGTTTTCTCAGTCACCTATGTCTGAAACTCAAGTTGTCTGAACTTCCCCAGTTTCTTCTTTCATGTCTATCACATTCTACCCCTGCTTCGCATTCTCACAGACTAACTCTGGCTCCACACAGAGAATAAGAAGTACTCGCGCCAGCTCTGGCAGCTACTCTAACCCCAACACTCAACTGTCTCAAAGATAATTACGAACACTGAGCATGACACATTCTAACATGATACAAAAATAAATCCATTAATGGTGATTTTAAAGGTCAGCAGCACAACTGTAAGAATAAACTCTGTGGTATTAAGTCATTGATGGCAAAAATGGGGGGACTGTACTTTCTAAAATTTGCACATATAAACTTGTTGCAGCTAAACACTTTTGATAACTTTATAGGGTTGACACCAGGTTTCAAAGTTAATTCTGACTTTTCTCTAGAGCCTTTACAGTGGATGATTTCACTCCTCCAAGAGCTCTCCCACTAAACTGTGAGCACGTAGAGGGCAGGAATTATTAAGCATTTTCTATTACAGTATCTTTCTATTACACACAGTGCGCAATGAGTACCAGTCCTACAAAACGATCTGACCAATTTAAGGAATGTCTGACTTCATATCCTTCTTACACTGCTTTATAGTTCAGTATTTTAAGACATAAAACATGTTTCTCTACTTGATAAATCAGTCAATCCTCATCAATCTGGGATTCTAAAAATATACATGTTTTTAGCATATAAATTCATCTTTGCTTTTGCCCATTCTCAAATCATTAAAAACTTGGCTCCTATGAGCTTTATTGTTTCAAGGACTAAACAATGTTAATTTAAAGGCAAAGCACATTTGTAATGACTTTAGAGCTTTACTACAAAAGGTTATAATTACACATTTTATAAAACTACAGCTGCTAGAGAGACAAAAGAGCAACTTGCTTCTGAGATTGTGATTTGTAATTCATATGATCAGTAGAAATTTGCATAGAAACAATGTGGTTTTCAGGGAATGATGACTTCTGGTTTTACTTGTACAATTCCTGTTTTAGACAGTATTGTGTTCATATAAGTATTTAATTTATTTTAAACTTACCAGTGTAATTCTGAATAGACTCTGGAAAGTTCTTATTCTGAGCAGTAGAT